GGCCGCACAAATTGTGTGTGATCCGTACTTCTCTTTATTCCATCTCTGAGTTTTAGGAACAGATCAGCGGCTGCAAGGAGAATTCTGCGGTCCGTACTTGCTTCTGCGAACTGCAATTTTGGTCTGCTGCGCCCCTTTTCCCTTGTGAGCTGGAACACTTCTTTTTGAGTTGGATTTCTTCGTTTTAGCCCAAATCTCCAACATTCCTGCAATTTGCACACTTTTATTAGTTTTGGGAACATAAATCAATATTTTCGGACTAAAACAAAAGTAAAAAAGGTACTAATAAGTGGTCAAACTCATACTTATCAGCCCGCTCATGATTTGTGAGACCTATGTGAACCTAGAGCCCTGATACCAAGCTGTCATGACTTCATTCCCACTATAGGCCGTGACGGCGCCCAACGTTGCTGCTAGAGCCGACAATGAACTAACCATTTAATTGTTCATTTTTATATTTTTAAAGTCAATGATTTTATTTAATAAAGAGACAATTAGTGGGTTACTGTAGTAATGTAAAGCCTAAAATAAACGTAAGAGTGAAGTAGCGAATTTAATAATCAAAATCATGAAATATCTTCTAGAATTTTTCAAAACCCGATGTTACAAATGCATGGGCAACTAATAGAATATACAAAACTTCTATATTACTGTCTGGAGTAAGATAGACATAAAAATAAATACAACAAGGAAGAGACTTTGGGTGCTGCAAAACGGAGCATAGGGAGTAGCTCACCACTAAATTTCTGGATAACGGGGGTACGCGTCTGACTAGCTACCAGATGCACCTGCCTTTGACCCTGCGCGAGTAGTATAGAAGTATAGTGTGAGTACATAAACAACATGTACTAAGTAAGTATCTAGTCTAACCTCGAAGAAGTAGTGACGAGAGATCGACATCGACACTTACTAGAGGTCAATAAATAAGATGCAAAAATCATGAGTAGGCATGATATACAACACTAACAATGAAATAAGAAGTAGTAAATAATGATTTCTAATCTTAATGTCAACTTAAAGTCTCCAACTATCATAGGCCAAGTCTTTAACACATAAGAGACACCAAGTAATTTTTCAATTCTCAAATCAAGAAAGAAATATCAAGTATAATCGGACTCCGAACAATATCACGCACGATTTAAGCCAATGTCGTACAGCCCGATCCGAAATAGTGTGTACACTGCCGAGGGTCGACCGACGCAAACCATAGATGCATCTAATATACTGATGAGGTGTTCGACCCGATCCACAAGAATAGAGAATACTCTACAAACTCCGATTAACGACTACTACATAAGAATAATACTCAAGGAAGGCATGAATCCCGCTAACAATCGAGTATTCCGTCGAAACTCAAAGTAATGAAGCTCAGTCTTTACAAATCCTTTATCCACTTTTATTTATAAATTTAGGTAATTAAACTAATAAGTTAGGTGTAAATAATATAAGTAATGCATGGTAGTGTCCTAAAACTACCCAGACATAAGCATGATTTTAGCTACATACGGACTCTCGTCACACCGTACGCACGTAGCACCCACAATTATTAGAAAATAACTATTTATAATACCTACGAGGATAATTCCCTCTTATTACAAGATTAGGCAAGAGACTTACCTGGTTTCCAAGTCCTCTTTTCGGTCCACAATTCATACTAAAAGCCTCAAATCGGTGCTGATCAATCCAACACTAGCCAAATATTATGCAAACTAATCAATATATGCTAAAAAGTTCAAAATTTAACTATTAGAGTAATTACGCACCCCAATTTGGAAGATTACTAAAATTCATCCCCGAGCCCACATGCCCTAATTCCGAAATTTTTTGTAAATAGATATTACACATAACCTTACGAACACAAATATATAACTTCTACTCAATCCCATAATCTTTTTCGTGGTCTGATCCCATTTCTATCAAAAACCTAGGTTTTCCACAAATTTTCACTAATTTTCATATTTAATCTACCCATAATCCATATATTTAACTTTAAAATGGGTAGAATTTACTTACCTTGTGATGTTGATGAGAATTTCCCACAAAAGTGCTCTCAAATTCGCCCAAGGCCAAATAGAAGTGTGTGGAAAATAGGCTAAGTCCCAAAATAAATAGACCCTCATGCCTTGCGATTTTTCGCTTCTGCAGCAAATTCACCGTAGATTTAGGTCCCTCCCCACAGTTTCTGATGTCCAAAACCCGCTTCTGCGGGTTCGCACCTACGGAACATTTCCCCACATGCGATTCTAGCGCAGCCGGCCCTCTTCACTTCTGCGATGCCTTCTTCGCATCTGCGGGCTTGCAGATGCGGTCGAGCCACCGCACCTTCATCCCTGCCCTCCCCCCAACTCTGGTCCACTTTTGCGGATATATACCGCTTTCACGGTTACGCACCTACGCTCCCTCGTTCGCACGTGCGGACTCAGCCCACTTAGCCAAACTCGCACATGCGGCTAGGCAGATGCTTCTACGACGCCGCAGCTGCGGCCCAAACTTCGCAGGTGCAAAAACACCAGATCCAAATAGCCTTCAACAATTTTCTAAGTTCAAACATGTTCCACACGTCATCTGAATAGTACTCGAGGGCACCCTCCAAACATACCAACAAGTACTTAAACACAATACTAACTCACTCGAAGCCTCAAATAACATTAAACAATGCCAACATCACGAATCACACCTCAAAACCTCATTAATCAACTTATGAACTTCAAACTTCTTTAACTAGCTCCGAACGCGTCAAATCGTACTTAGACAACTCGGAATGACACCAAATTTTATGTACAAGTCATGAATCACTATACGAACATATCTCCATGCTCGGAATCCCAAACGAACCCTGATTTGACCAAAGTCTACTTCAAACCAAATTTAAAGAACTTGAAAACCTTCAATGCGTCAACTTTCAACATTAGACATCAAAATGCTCCTAGATCACCAGAAACTCAATCCGAACATACGGCCAAGTCAAAAATCATCATACAAACCTATTGGAATCATCAATTCCATGTTCTGAGGTCGTTTACTAAAAATGTGACCCAAGTCAAAGTGGCCATCTTAGGCCACTATTAAGGAACCAAGTGTTCTGATTTTAATCTGAACCCTTTCAATCCCAAACCAACCATCCGCTCAAGTCATAAAATAGTAAAGCACATGCGGGGAGTCTTAATTAGGGGAACATGGATTTAGAAAGCAAAATGACCGGTCTAGTCGTTACCATAAATATGTATATAAAAGATATTCCATTGGTCTCAATTTATGTGATAATGTTTATCTTGATATAAAGCTTAAGATAAGAAGGAAGACTTTCGAAATTGCAGTTTAAAATTAACATAAATATTTGTATGACTATAAATTACTTAAAATATAAAGTTAAAAGTTAAATTATTCTCATATAAACAAGACATTTTTTTGGATGGAAAACACTTAAAAAAAAGTATGACAAATAAATTGGGTAAAATTGAATACATATTCCTCCGGTCCATAATAAGTGACCAATTTGCTTTTGGCACGCCCATCAAGAAAATACTAATTTCTATACAAAAATACCTAGTATGACTAAACTACCCTTAATTAAATATTTAATGTAAGGAGTAAAAAATCTTTTTAGAGATATGTACAAAAGGCTAATTTTATAAAAATAAATTAAATTTTTTTTTGATTATATAAATAAACACTTATTTTGGATCAAAATAAAAAAACAAATTGGTACAGGAGGGAGGAAGTACTATGTAGTTATATGTTTGGTGTGAATATCATGATGTGTCTCGTAAAAGACGAACTAGCATTAATAGTGATGGATCTGGGCGAACTGAAGCCCACTCTGTCGCTGCTGTCAGTTAATAGCCTTAGGAAAATGATGAGGCAAATATGATTAAATTGCCAGGAAAGGTAAACAAAATGTTCGTAACGTAAATGGGTAGGCTCGCAGAGAGTATCTATGGGATTATGATGACACATAATGCATTTTCTCCCTTTCTTTTCTTCCCTTTGTTGACCAACTTCTTTTGCTGTGGAGGGGTTCATCTTGTTTACATACCTGCTTGAGGTTGCACAAAGGGCCTTGGGTTGGTCCTGTTATTTTATGTGATATATATACTTCTTTTCAAATTTTAAAAATCATTTAATTTACCCATAATCTGGTTCTTTATATATCCATAATGTGTAAATTATAGTTCATCATGTCTCTTCACAAAAAGAAAGAAAAAAAAAAGAAGAAGAAGATACCACTTTTTGAGTTATGCCACAAGAAAATAAATGATGTTGAAATGTCGACTTCAAAGAAAAAATATACATTCAATTCTTAAAACACTATTCGTGTGCATATAATATTCGATATACTTGGACCTAGCTTCAGTGACATATCCTAAGAATTATGCTATAGCACGAAAGCAAGGAGTAGCTTACACTCTCAACCACGCTCCTCATTTTGATTTCACACGACTTTGACAAATTCAACTGTATCCATATCTTTAAAAAGGAAGAAAAAAGGTGGTACTTTACGTTTTGAGATGATGAAAGGACCCAATTACTTAGTATCAAATTTTAATGATTAGGAGTTGAACCATGCGAAAATAATATATTTAGATATCAACAAAAGAATTAGAGATCAAGATAATTATTTTAAGAGACGGACACTATAAATAGTATAGATGAATAAATTAGCTCTATCTCGTATTTAAATCCGTTTTGACCATGAAACACCTATATTAAATTGGAGACAGGTATCGTTAGATGTCATTTTCGGCTTAAAGCTATAATTAAACAAATAAATCTGGACTGCTCCCGCCCGAATCAGCTTATAATATTTGGACCATCCACAATAGATAATGCTACTATACAGAGCAATCACTACTTTTTAAACTTTTAAGGATTAATTAAAGGTATTTTTTCAAGTAATAAGCAACGGTAAGAGTATCTTAGACATGTACTTAGCAGATTATTTTATGGAGCATTACATAACACTTCGACTGTACAACATAAATTATCACACTCCTTTTGGTGATAGATGCACTTTTATTCTAATCATTAAAGTATGTATACATTTAATAATACATGATGGTTGGAAATCCCAAATTATCCAAATATGAAGTTATATATTATGTCTTTATCGGGTTTATCTTATTACCTAATAATGTTATAGATACTACCGTACAAATGCTAATCTAGTGTGGGCCCCACCAAACACCCACAAATCAACGGCTCTGCATCCAAACAAAGCGTTCGCTCTGTCACTAATCAGTTTTAAATATGCTTACATAATCAAGCGAAGTCATCAACTTAGACAAATTACTAAACTTTAAACGAGCTGATTCAAAAACCAACATGAAAATTTGAGTCGGTTTCCAATCTAAAATTACTACGTATATTGCAAAGTTTCCATATTTTTTTCACATTTGCAAGTGTTTTTCCTTTATTTGGGCGAAAATGTAAAAGATCCAAGTTGAGGAGAAAAGAGTAGAAAGTAGTAGAGTAGTTGATGATAAGCTGCTTGATTGAAACAGGTGGGGAATTGTGTTTATATGACAGAGAAAGGACTGTGTCCGATGCAATAGTGTCAACAAACAGTTTCGTCTTTTTCCTTCCTATTTTTATTCGAAGATTAAAGGCGAGAGAGGAAAGAGAGAGGAGCACCTTATCTCTCTTGCAGAAAGGACATTAACAATAAAGGCAAATACCCAAGAGAAAAGAAAACAAAGGAAAGAACAGAAAGAGGAAAGTACTCACAGTCACGCCCAAAATCGCCCACCTTCTCGCTCTCTGCTGCTCTCAATCAATACTCTGTGTCTCTCCATTTTCAACCCCAACATATCAGAAATATTGCTAGAGAGTACAGTACCATATTAAAGAGTACCAAAAAGGTTGCTTTTTTTAATTCTATTTTTGAGCTAACTCTGTCTTCTATAAATGGAGGTTAAAGAAGCTTTTTGAATCATTGGGATTTGGTAGATTTATGAGCGGTGTTATTACACTCGAGTGTTATGGTGAGTTTTGGACTGGTTGTTGCCGACTGTGTAGTGGATTTACAAATTTGATCAATTTTCGTTTTCGGGGAAATTTAAGCTGAGCTGCATAAGATGAATCATTCAGTTCCTGAGTTTGATATGGATGATGACTACACTATTCCTACGTCTTCTGGTCTTACCAGACCTAAAAAGTCTGCAATGTAAGCTTTACGCACTTTTTAATGTTTTTTGATTTAAATGAAAGGTTTTCTGATTTGTGATTGAATGAAGAGTTTCTTCTTTTTTAATTTAATGGTTTCACAGGGCGGAAGAGGATATCATGGAACTATTGTGGCATAATGGACAAGTGGTTATGCAGAGCCAAAATCAAAGATCTCTGAAGAAATCTCACATTAGCAACGGCGGTGGCGGAGGTGGCAGCGGTGATGCGCTTATTCCCTCCGAACAAGCTGTCAGTAGAGAGATCCGACATGTAGAGGAAACTACTACACCACAGCAACTGTTTATGCAGGAGGACGAGATGGCCTCATGGCTTCACTACCCACTCGATGACTCCTCCTCCTTCGAACGTGATCTTTACGCCGATCTCCTTTATTCCACACCGAGCGCAACCGTTACAACCGCTGCGCCGCCGCGAGAAATCCGTACGCCCCCGGTGGAGATCCGTCCACCTCCGCCGCATCCATCCCCTGCACCGCCGATTGCAGTGGCTCCACGACCGCCTATACCTCCTCCTGCAAGACGTCCCGGCACTGAAAGCTCACATCGGTTCCAGAACTTCGGACACTTCTCGCGATTGCCTAGTCGAACAAGGTCAGAACTTGGTCCGTCAAATTCGAGCAAGTCACCTAGAGAATCAACGGTTGTGGACTCAAACGAAACTCCAATTTCAGGGCCTGAATCTAGGGTTTCACAGGTAGCGGATAATGTAGTACCGGTTCCCGGCGGAAATGGAGCATGTGGGGCTGTAAATGTCAACGGAACTGCGACTGCGTCAACGGCAATTAGGGAACCGGCGACAACATGTGAGCTTTCGGTGACGTCATCTCCCGGCTCAGGAAACAGTATAAACGCCAGCGCTGAACCACCGCTGTCGGAAACGGCGGCGTTGGCGACACCGACGGCTGCGGCATCGAATGATCGGAAACGCAAAGGAATAGAAACGGACGACGGGGATGGTCAGAATGAGGTGAGCAGTTAATTTGTTGTTTTCTTCCTTTGTAATTCCCAATTACTCGCACCTGTACCTGTCTAAGCGCTGTCGTTTTTCGTGGCTCGCAAGAATATCCAACTTACGGTGCATTTTAGCCCAAGGAGGGATTTTCTCATTGGCCACGTCATCTGCTTATGCTTGACGTACTGCGAGCCTATTATTTGTGGCTGTGGTTCATTTGAGTGTCATAGTACGTGACACGTGTCTAAATCACTAAACCAAAAAAATTGTTTTAAGAATATCTTTGAAACTTGAGATCGTAAAAGGTTTAGGGGTATAAAAATTTTGTGGGATCATGACATTTTGTGGTTACAAAAGTTACTTATTAAGGGTAAAATGAATAAAATAAAGAGTTTAAAGTTGAATTATTTTCAAATTTAAAAATGTGTCATTTATTTTATAACAGATTAAAAAGAAAAGTACACCATCTAATTTGAAACGGAAGGAGTACCTGTTCTTCGAAAAAGAATCTTTGAATATTTTAAGTACTTCTAAGATGCTAGTTCCTCGTACTAACTTATGTGGTGCGATTTAATTGGGCATTCAATTTTTAAAAAGAAATACATTAATTATTTTTAAAATTTATGATCTAAATCAAGTTATAGATATTTATGTTGTTATAAATTATTTTAAATACTCCCTCCGTTTCAATTTATGCGAATTTGTTTGATTGGGCGCGAAATTTAAGAAGAAATGAAGATATTTGGAATTTGTAGTCCTAAACAAGTCAAAAAGGGACCCAGAGTATTTATGTGATTAAAAAAATTTCTCATTAAGGATAAAATTGTAAGTTTAAGCTAAATTGTTACCAAATTTAGAAATGGTCATTCTTTTTGGAACAAACTAAAAAGGAAATAGGTTCACATAAATTGGAATAGAGGGAGTATGTAAATTGATAATTCATTTTAAACATAGCAAAAAGAAAAAAATGTATCATGGTAGGGGGAGGGGGATTAAGTACTCCCTCCGTTTCATATTAGATGAGGTAGTTTGACTCGGCACGAAGTTTAAGAAAAAAGAAGAAGACTTTTCAAACTTGTGATCTTAAAAGCTTAAGGGATAAAAAGTTTGGGGGACCATAACATTTATGTGACTATAAAAACTTCTCTTTAAAGGTAAATGGGTAAAATAAAAGAGTTTAAAGTTGAATTATTTTCAAATTTAAAAATGTATTATTTGTTTCGGAACAAATTAAAAAGGAAAGTACCTCATTTAATATAAAACGAAGAGAGTAATAGGTGGCAGCGCACCTCCAGTAGTGAAGAACACTCCAGATTGTTCAACAAGGATTTTATTTTGGTTTCATTTTAAGCGTAAAGTCACGGGACTGTTTGGACTGTTGTTCCACTTTGTCCCATTCTGTGTTAACCATGGAACAGGGCGGCTTCAGAGGGGGCTGTACCTGTATTCATGTTTCCTTGAAATCAGCCTAACTCTGTGGTGTGCTGACCTTTTGGTGACCCAGCAGTCACAATAATTAAAATCCCAGTTTCATGAGTACCAAGATACTAGTACGTAAATAAAAGGAATATTTTATAACCACCTTAAACTATTTTAAGTCTTGTTTTCCACTCCTTCACCTCGGGGTCAAATGGCCAATTATAAGATAACGTTTAATTTAATACAGCAGCGCTGCAAATAGTTAAGTAGTATCAGTAAATCTAATGAATGAAGTTTGTTTGACAAGGTAAAAATAAGTCCTCGCTGGTTACCATAAGGGACTTGGAAAAGTTGGGGGCAGCTTGGAAAAGAATTATACTCTAATGAGAAAGTAAAGGAAAGATGTGAACTAGTTGCCTCGGAGATGAGTCCATTACTTAAATTGTCATTCAACTATTTCAAATTATTTGGTAAACTCATCTTTAACGAAATAGAAAAGTCACTTAACTATGCCTATAAGCACTCAGAAGGTCATTCAACTAGATTTCTCAAATTTTTGATTGTCAAATACCTATTTTACCCTTTAAATTTTAACTTTTGTCTTCTTTTTATTTTAATTTTTTTAATATTATAATTTTTCTCTTTTTATTTTACATTACAGACTTATTTATAGAACAAATAAATTTTATTTATAAACTATAAAAAAAAATGAAAAATTAGTTTCCTAGCATATATAATCGGAATAATAAAATAATTGAGCATAGTTTTCAAGAATATATAATATATATTATAAAATATACCTCTATTTTAAATAATTATTTTTTATATTACGTGCATGGGATATGTATTTTAAATTTTTTATTTTCTTTCATTCTTAATTGTGTAAATAAATTTTTGAGTTTTTGTTGTTAATATTAAAATTATTAAAATGAACAAATTTTTCTAGTTAATTTTTTACTATGATCAATATTTTATTATTCCAATATTATATATGATTAAATATATTTTATTTTTTTATTTTATAAATAAAATTTTATTTATTGTTTAGGTAAGTCCATAACATAAANAAAAGACCTTATAAAAAAAAGTAAAAAAAAAAAGGCAAAAGTTGATAATTTAGAGGGTAAAATAGGTATTTTGGCAATCAAAAGTTTGAGAAATCTAGTTGAGTGACTTTCTGAGTGCAATAAGCATAGGTAAGTGAATTTTCTGTTACAAACGAAAGAAAAATGACTTTATTAGATAATTTTGAATAGTTGAGTGACCATTTGAGTAATGAAATCGAATTCTTTGTCTGCTGGAATAATATAGCACGGTTAGTTGTATACTTCCTCGGTTTCAATTTTTGAGTGATGTAATTTGATTGGGTACAAAATTTAAAAAAGAAAGGAAGACCTTAAACTTGTGGTTTTAACATAAGCATTTGTTGAGCTATAAGACTTTTGAAATTTATGGTTTTAAACGTACCATAATATTTGTTTGGTTATAAAAGCTTGTCATTAAGAGTAGAACGAAAAGTTCAATTGTTTTCAAATTTAGAAATGTGCTATTCTTTTTTAACTTATTGATAAGAAAATAATTATCATTCTATTTGGAGCGGAGGGAGCACTTAATTTCTGCATGTTTCACATTACAAATAACAGCGGTGGTAGTTTGGTCGAATGAGGCAACTTTGAGCTGACAGAGTAGAACTTCCTTTGCAACCGAATTGATCCGACTTCTGCCCAAAGTAATAGAAATTCATTTATTTTTCAGCTCTCTTTGAACTTTGTTAGCTCTCTTTGAACTTTGAAATGTCTGAAAGGGCCTCAGCAGGATTGCATAACTGTTTTGACAAGATACCTCATCAGTTCCATAATCAGTACATCTGGTGAAACTCACTTCAGAGCTCCTTGTGGCTTTTCCTGATTCTAGATTGTATAGAGTGTACTAAGTTGACCAGGTGAACCTATGAGCAACTTCTTTATCTGTTTGTTCCTCTGGCAGGATAACAAATTTGTTCCAAGCAGAGTCATAGAATTTTTCTGGATGTATTAATAACATTGATTTCTCACTTTATCCTCTGTTTACTGCCTCGGTGTATTACTTAGCAGCTTTAGTGCCACTTGATTAGATTCTAGAGAATGAGACTATGAGTAATTGGTAAAATCGATTATTTTCCCAGGAAAAAAAATGAAGTTGATTAAAGAGAAAAAGGGTGGTATATTGAAGTTGAAACACTTTCTAACTTTAGCGAGGACTGGGGGCAAAGGAGAACTCATGAATGCCAAGAAAATGTCATGATTTTTTGAAGTATAAATTAATAACTACAAGGAGGAGGTAGGAAGAACTTTTCAAAAGAAGTTGTGATGGTCGAGGTACACTGGGAATAGCTGGCCCACTTTTACCTTCTTTCCTCCCCAGAAAGCATATGCGATCTTTCTTTTTGAGAGATCATGGTAAATATTTCTGTGATTGTTAACTTTGACATTTGTGATGCCTTGCCTTGCGGGAGAAAGACAAGAAATACTGAAAGTTGAGAACAAATTCTTGCTTCCTGTTGAGCTTACCACATCATATATAACTGCAAACCTCTGAAGCAGACCAGATGTTCCAATCGTTCTTATTTTGAACATTTGAGTCTGCTTCAAGTATTTTTCTTTGATAGATTTATGATGACCCCGATTTTACTGTTAGTGCTTCATTAACTTATATCTCAACTGCCCTAGGACGCTGAATTTGGGTCTGGTGATACAAAGAAGCATGCACGTGGTTCAACGTCTACAAAACGATCTCGTGCTGCAGAGGTCCATAATCTTTCGGAAAGGGTATGTATTGTGGAATTGTTTATTTGAGGATTTTGATAATTCTACTGCTTTTTCTTGTTTGATTGTTTAATTAACATGCCAATGCACCAATCAACACAGAGACGTCGAGACAGAATAAATGAGAAGATGAGGGCTCTGCAGGAACTGATACCACGCTGTAACAAGGTTTGACCTCTTCTTTAAGTTCTCTACAATGTCTAGAACAGATAGTTTACTGTCCTCTTAATATATTCAAGTTAATCTTCTGTTGAATTTCAGACAGACAAAGCTTCAATGCTGGATGAGGCAATTGAGTATTTGAAATCACTGCAATTGCAAGTGCAGGTATATTTATTAACACTCCTCTCTGTGTATTGCCTCTTGATACCTCTCAACCCTCTTTTTGTTCGATTTCTTAGTAGTAAAGGAATTTGACAGTCCTTGCTGAAGAGGGAATAATTTCTTTAGTCCTAAAAAATATTTGACCCTTAAGCACCAGAAAATTGGATTTACACCTCAAGAACCTCATTTTTTATTACTTGCATCTTAAATGTGAATAATATTAAGTCAAGATATTACTATAAATATCTAAAGCTTATTTACTGTAAATATTAGTACATTTTCGGTTGCAAGTCGCTAGTCATTGCTTTATTTTATAGTTTATATATGGTAATCCTTTTTTCTCTATTATGCTAAGTTATAATTATGTTGGCATTGTGTCTTCAAACTTTAGCATTTCTTTTGGCATAACACACTTTTTCTTGTTTATCGTATTAATAGGAAGTAGTAAATGTAACTAGATTATTGAGAACGCCAATTGGGTCAATCAGCATATCCTTATTTCGCAGCGCTACACATTCTCAAGTAAATTACATCTGACAAAGTCAAATGGAGCAATTGTACGAGATCTAAGAAATGTAGAATCTGAATTACCAGCATTTGTAATTCATGTAGCAGTATATGGACACTTTTTATCAGTAGCAGTATGTGGATAACACTAATTGAGTTTTTGGATATTGCCTAAATTTTAAAAACTTGCATGCTAGTCATGTACTACAGCCTTAAGTCTGTTTCCTACTTGTATTGTCCCAAATGAAAAACAAAACTCATCTTGTCTTTACTTCAGCACCAGATTTTTAACTCATCTCGTCTTTTCTTCAGCACCAGATTTTTGTAAAAGTGAAACATATTACCCATGCCTTCCCTATGCATCAAATTACATTACGTTTTTCATACATTTTATGTATATATGTGGACATACACGCCCCGCCGGCGCGCACGTGTGTTCCCTTATGCTATTTTAAGTACGAAATTATTTGTTTCACTGTCGTATAACTTATTTAAATGAAGTCGCGAACGCTGCTTGTGTTTTGATTAGAGACTTGTATGGCCATAACTCCGATTCTATATTTTCATTTTATGCTGTTTATTCCGAAATTCTAATGTATACAGGTATATTAATGTTCACTATATATCCACACTGCTATCTGGTTTCTAACAATTTATTGCTAAGAGATTGCACTTCTCCTCCTCTCTATATGATTGACAAAAGTCGTATGTTGACTTACTGAGAGAAGGGACCCGTGTTGTTATTCTCCAAGTCTTCTTCTTCAGCTTCTATCTATAAGATTGACAAAATTTGAATGTTGACTTTCTAAGGACAGGGCTAACTAAACTGGGCCACTTTTAGGTCATTCAGTGCTTTTGCCGAAAAATGTTTGATAGAATCCTGTTTGGCTCCATTCTGGTGTTAATTCTTCCGTACTTCCATTCATTGCCCCAAAAGAGCGGTTCACCTTGTAAAATTTGTTTTTTCCTTTGTGAAAATTAAATACTCCTTTTTAATCAAACCCTACTCTATGTGGAGCTGACTGGTTAATTTAGTTGTAGCACACTCTTGATTCAAATTCCATGAAGGTGCTGAAGCCTTATTACTGAATTTTAGTTGAACTTGAATGTTCAATTTAATACCATTGCTGGAACAAGAAACCTATGTTATTCAGCTCAGTATATTTGAATGCATGACATCTTACAGCGTTACATCATGAACGTTAAAAGTTCTCCCCTCATATTCTCACTGCCTTCTCCTGTTGTAGAAGCGGCATTCATTGCTAAAAATAAGGTTCATCCTTCTCCTTATTGACCTGCGCTTTCAGCTCGCAGCTGGTCTGAGCTGATTTACATATGTTCAGCGTCAATGGAATAATTTCTAAACTTATCTCTGGTTGTGTAATATGCATGCTGAAGCTAGTTGGTGATACAGTCCTGCTTGTTATCTTAAAAAAGAATTTTTAGTCAAATCAGAACATAGTTTGATCATATCTGCTTTTGTCTGCAGATGATGTCCATGGGATGCGGCATGGTCCCGATGATGTATCCTGGAATGCAGCAATACATGCCAGCTATGGGAATGGGCATGGTGGGAATGGGTATGGAGATTGGCATGAACAGGCCAATGGTTCCATATCCACCTCTATTACCAGGTGCAGCGATGCAGAATGCAGCTGCAGCAGCACAAATGGGTCCTAGATTTCCTATGGCACCGTTTCATTTGCCACCAGTTCCAGTACCAGATCCTTCCAGGATGCAAGCCTCAAGTCAGCAAGATCCAATGCTAAATCCACTTGTAGCACGTAATCCCAACCAGCCAAGACTTCCGAATTTTAATGATCCATATCAACAGCATTTTGGTCTCCACCAGGCACAAGTGCAATTACCGCAGGCAAGTCCTTCTTCTTCGACTTGGTTCTTAGTTCATTTATTATCATGCCGACTATGTTCATGTAGAAACCAGTCAACCACCATTGAAAAGTCTAGTTGTTGCATATTGTGATGAATATGTCCATTGTAGAAACAACCAGCTACAAATCCACTCATCTTGCAATGAGGAATTACTTTCACCATGGTCATAGGTCAATTACTCTTAGAATATTTTATTGCTAGATACAATCTTGCCAAAACGAGTTTTATTAAGTGAATACCTACAAGATGGATGCAGCTTGGAGCCATCCACCAGAGCCTTTTGATATTCTCCTTATGTTTTCCCTAATGATCTCACCTGTCATGCCTAATGCTTAGCTTTTAAATGCAGAATCAGGCAGTAGAACAGCAAGGTTACAATAAACCCGGCAGCAGCAAAGAAGTTGGAAATCCAGGGAATCCTCAATCTGGTAAGCTTACCATTCAAATTTTATAGCTCATATATATACCACAATGGGGTGGTTCTTATGCAACAAACTAAGGGGATGAAACTAGAAAAAAATTGCTTGTCATAGTGCCAAAAAATGCATTCTACACGATTGTTGATGGTCTTATGTTCTGATATATGCGCGCATTCTACACGATTGTTGATGGTCTTATGTTCTGATATATGCGCGCATTCTACACGATTGTTGATGGGCTTATGTTCTGATATATGCGTTTAGCAGCATAAAGATAAGGATAGAACTCAATTGTTCTCTGGCATTGAGAATAACATATTGGTGCAAGTGGACATTCCTGCAGTATTTCAATGGCATAAAATTAGGACTTTATTCACTACTTATTTATTTGCAGGTTGATTACCTGAGGGCCAGAACGTAAGAGCTTCTCACAAACTAAATTTTGTAGTGTAAGAGGAACATCCGCTGCAGTCGGGCTGATACAAAATATAGCACCACTAACTTGTAATTATTACTGCAAAACTCAGTTTGCTTTATATATTGTGGCCCATGAAATCTCAATTCCCATTTTGGCATTTGGATATAATTTGTGGCCAGCGTTTAACATCACAAGTGATCCGGCATAAGAGAGATGTTCAGCCGGTGAAGAGGCTTTAAGCATTTCCAGGCTTATGATTCTTGTTCACCCCAAATTTTATGTGCGCGCTGCCCCTTTTAACTGCTGCAGACATTGATGATCATAAACATATTTATGATAATTCTCACTCTGGTACACAAAAATGAGGCGCACATCAGTCATCAGCTGCATTGCTTCATATCTTTCTCTACTTTTCTGTGATATAACAACTACCACCTTGCAAAAATAAGGTAAGACGAACCACAGTCGTTAAGCTCAAATCATTTCGTAGATACTTCGGATCATCATTTTAAGTTGGGATGCAAATCAACCATTAATTCATTGTGAAACTACATCGACAACTCCATTTTATACCCCGTGCATGAGGTATTCTGGAGTTATTTTTGGCGAGTAAATTTTATTTTGCTTTTCGGACGCGTTCTTCCAACTTATTTGATTAATTCTTAGTTCGGGGCTTGCGTGGAATTGAGTTGTAGTAGCAAGTGTTAGCTTGGGAGGTGAGCGAATTCATAATGCTCCTATGGTGTTTTTGTTTGCTTTTGTGTTTTGGGGGATTTGCATCTTTACCCGCTTTTTGGGTCACGTTTTAACTTGTGTCCGCTTTGTAAAAAAAATTGCAAGCGTACTCACTTTTTCGCGTAACTTCAGCATACGGGGCTGAAGTAACAAAGTTAATCACACAAAACTTCAGCATTCTAGTAGACGGGCCTGAAGTAGCAAAGGCAATACGCTGAAGTTTTTTTGTCCTGGATAAGATGCTGAAGTTATTTAGTTCATTTGTAAAAAGTTCAGTACTCAAATAGCTGAAGTTTTTTTTGTTCTGGATTCATTAGTTTTGTCATAAAGCTTTTTCAAAAACTTCATGCTGAAGTTATTTAGTTCATTTGTAAAAACTTCAGCATTAAATAAGCTGAAGTTTTTTTTGTCCTGGATAAACTTTTTCAAAAACTTCAGCAGAAGATGCTGAAGTTATTTAGTTTATTTGTAAAAACTTCAGCACTATATAAGCTGAAGTTTTTTGTCATGGATTTATTAGTTTTGTCATAAAGCTTTTTCAAAAACTTCAGTAGAAGATGCTGGAGTTATTTAGTTCATTTATAAAAACTTCAGCACTATATAAGCTGAAGTTTTTAAAAAAGCTTTCTAACATACTAGATAAATAATCACCTTATTCTTTTATAGTGTATTACTACTATAAAATAATCAGATTGCCAACAGTGTCTAAATCATAAATTTTGGAAATAATAAACGTGAAAAGAACAGAACTATGTGGAAATATTCATNAGGAGGAGGAGGAGGAGGAGGAGAAAGGGGGCTGAAATTATTTAAAAAGTGGGTACAAGTTAAACCTTTTTTAAAAAAATTGGTATATGTTAAATTAGGGCGCCCCGTACAATTTTTACGTTTTTCCCCCTCCTCTGACTAGGGTGGGCGTTTTATGGGCCTAGAAAATTTTGAAATGGCTAAAAGTTGGGTAAAAATAGCATGGTATAGCCAGTTTTCGGACTGGTCATTCAAAAATAGCCCGCGTTTACGAAGTCAATGAAAAATAGCCACTATTTTGCTGCAAAAGAGACCGGTCCAGCATAATATACTGGAGTTCGGTGCACCTGTGTATGAACTCCAGCATATTATGTTGGATCGATATACTTTGCTGACTCCAGTATAATATACTGGAGACTGGAGCACCGGTGCTCCAAACTCTAGTATATTATACTGGACAATTTTACTTGTTGGAACTCCAGTATATTATGTTGGAGTTCTAGCGTACTTATGTTGGAACTCCAGTATAATATACTGACGTATTTTCCGGGTTTTGAACAGTATTTTCGCTCAGATTTATCTTTACATGAAAAATGGCTAAATTTCGATTAATTTTGAAACTGTGCTATTTTTGAACGACCAATTGTAAATCTGGCTATTTTTGAATTTCTCCCAGAAGTTGGGGCATTTTGATATATATTCACTTTGGGGACCACCATTAATGTTCTATCCATATTGCATAAATTTTTGCAAAGTATACCTACTTGAATCTTGACGTAGTTCAATCTCTTCAATGCAATTTCAGAAATCAAATTTGAAGTTCTTCTATTTTTCAAATGCAGCTTCAAATATTTGAATCTTAAGTAGTCCAATATTTTCAATACAATTTCAGATATAAAATCTGGAGTTCTTTATCTTTCAAATGTAATTTCAGAAATTAAAATCTTAAGTAGACCAATCTCTTCAATGCATCTTCGGATTTCGAATCTTAAGTTCTGAAGCATATATTTGTTCTTCGAATTTCAAATCCAACATACGATTCAACACACAAATTTATTCCAAATGAGCGCACATTTCAAACATAATTTTCAAATATCATAAAGAACAAATTCCAATAATCAAATTGTCAAAGTAAAAACAAATTTAACAAACCTATTTTGTAATTAAGAAGACGAAGAAAAAGAAGCCCTAGGTACAAAAAAAAAAAAAAGAAAAAAAAGAAAGCAACAACTAAGAATAAGAGAAGCATGAAGTTACTAAAAATTTGGTATCAATTAAACTTTTTTAAAGAATGAGTACAAATTCTATGAGTAGCACAAAACTGGGCATGAAAATTTTACCTAGTACGGAAATGTCCATATTATGGTCACTTTTACAGTACTTTAGCCTTCTATGCATTTAACCATTTTTGGCTATCGGTACCAATGAAGTACAATATTCAGAATATCTAGGGTAAAAAGTCAATGGGTTTTTTGTAACTCGTTGAATACACATAGACGAGACAACATATACAAGAGGAAGAGTGGAAGTGATTTAAATTGGTTTGGAGTCAAAATTAGTAGTTGAAATTGAGTCAAATAAAAATAATTGAGACACATAGATATATATGGGACACAAATGAGATATATAGGGGGTTACACACCTTCTTATTCTTTGTTCATTGCCTATGTCGAATTTTTAATTTAAACTACTTCAAATCTCTACGAAAACTTCCTAAACATGAGATTCAATCTCCTTAAAATGGCCCAATATATTCCAACAACACCCGATCTAAACAGGGGATCCCAAATTGTCAAACTCAAACTTAAACGAGCTTCAATAACTTTTAATGAAATTTTAGCTCATCGGTCTTCTTCACTTTTCAAGCAACTAAAACAGTATTCTATGCACGAAATTTACTCCAAAATATGTAACCCATCAATTCCAACTAGCTAAGAGGACAAAAAAATAGTTAATGCTTGACCTTGTTATGGGAATCTTTTTGTAATTTTGTAGTATTAATTTGTTAAATTTCCTAGGGAAGAAATCAAATACTTTATTCAGAAGAATAGTTCAAAGAGATTTTAACTAGAACTTGATTATTCATAGTTTACTCCCTTCTTTGCTAAGTAATCTTGCCCTAAGACTATTTCAAAATACAGAGGAGTTCGACGAAGAGGGATTTGAAGATTGAAGATGGCTGAGCAGGGAAGCATGGACAAGTAGAGAACGAAGCAGAGAAGAAAATAAGCCACTTTTGTAATAAAAATTGGTTTATGGCTAATATTGGTTGCAATTTATAAATGAGGCTAATATTGGTAGTTTTTTTTTTTTTGCTTTCGCCTGCCAAACCACGTAGCGTTTCCAACAAAAATTATAGAAATAGACCACAAACTCAACAGTGATAATTCGTCATATCAAAATATGTGAAGATATCGGCAGCCATTCATGCAATTGAAGCTCGTCTGTAGAGAGAGTGAGAAAGGATAGCTAAGAGAAAGAAAAACAGTGGTTAAGCAGAGATAGTTCTAACTAAAATGTACGGTACTTCCACACACACACACTATATATATATATACCAGAAAATTGATCTATGGCAACGCACCAAAACCCGTTGCAATAGATAAGAATACCGTTGCAATAGGCCTACTGCAACGGTTTAGGGACCGTCACATCAGGTCGCGTGCCAATAGATCTATCGCAACGGTTGGTTTGATAATCATTGCCATAGGCCTCTGTTGCAACGGTTATACAACCGAGGTCATAGGCCTATCTATCACAACGGTTATCCAGTCAAATGGAACGCTTCAAAATCGTTGCATTATCATTCTAAGGAACGGTAGTTGAGGCTATTGCAACGCTTGTTTATGCTATAATAACGGTTTGGCTTACTATTGCAATTATTATTAGGGCTATTGCAACAGTTTAGTGGTCGATTTTTTGGTCTATTGCAACGGTTATAGAACCTATTTCAACGGTGCTACAAAAAAACTGCATTGTTACCTAAATAATAAAATATTGTACATTGGAACTTGTATAAATCACGAGAGGATATTGTTTCACATATAAAAGCAAAATATAGAATATTGTTTCATAAGTCAAGAATTAGTGTACACAAGTTGCAAAGGTTCTACAATACAAGATTCCTAGAATATGTGAAAATCTAGCTGCGAGAAACCAATATTAAGTAGGGTCTTCACAACTTCCATCTTCCGTTGTTCTTGTGTCTTACCTACAAAAGAGTGCCAATAAATAATTCAATAACTCTTTTGACATACAATACCTTTTAACAATTCAAAAGTTAGCATACACAAGTCCACAAAATGTTCAGACAAAAAAGTTTCCTAGAAAATCTGAAGATCTAGCACTAATCAATCAATATATTTAAGTAAGGTCTTCACTACTTTCCTTTACTCTTTGTTACTCCACTTTAAAAGACTAATATTAAAACTGTAAAAAGGAATTTATTTTGCAAAGAACAAAAAGAGCGTAATCAGGTAAACATCAAGGGAATTTTATGTGATGGGAGAGTAGGAAGTATCTTTAAAACATTTGTAATAAAAAGAGAGATGATATTATTTTAAATGCATTCTGAGATCTGTTTAAATGAATAGATGTAGGGAATCCAAATGATGGTCACTTTCTCTTGATATCTCAATATATTTAAACTGCTTCTAGTGCAGTTAATCTTTGTTTCTCTATGTGCATGTACAAAGCTGTTAAGTCATGTGCTTGATTTTTGTACAATCAGAGAGATTTACTTTCCGGTGCAGACAAGAAATCAAGATGCCATTAACTTTTAGTATATGAAATTAGCTTTGAGGTTAGTTGTACTATCCAAAAATATTACACAAGCATTACCGCCTATTATTGTATCCTAACCACGTTTATCACTCAAAGGTCAAAAGGGCAGCCCGTTGTATAAGGCATCCCGTATTTATACTGAATTCGGGGAAGGGCCGCATCCCAAGGGGTGTGACGTGGATAGCCTATCACTCAAAGGTACTTATAATAATTATTTATAAATAGAACTTCAGAGATAAAATTACTTAGATATATTATTCAGAAACATAAATTATTCATGAGACAAAAAAATGTGATCATTTGGGAAGGCTAAGTAAATCTCAGTCAATAGTAAATTAACCTACAACAGTAAAATTACTTCAGATCCCAAGTTCCCCTTTTTAGTTTTTCTTGTGAACACGCTATAATGAAAATTATAAAATCAATTGTGGACAATCATAAAGAGAGAATTCAAGTAAATATAGAATTCAAATATCTTTTTTGGCCTCAATCATGGATTATTTAATACTAAAAGATCAGAATAAAAGTTCTCAAGTTCACCTATTCTGGGCAAAAAATAAAAATAAATAGCACAAATCATAACTAGCACTGCTTTGTAGCCAGTGTCCTAACAATAACAAAAATATTCCACAAACAAGATTCCGTTAGGTAGTTATTCTTTGTGGAAAGATATAATAATAGTGAGTACCTATCAAGAATGACACAGGTAGCCTGGAAACTCTTAGCTCTTCTTGTAGTAATCTCTTTGAGTATTCTGCCTCAACTGACAATTCATATCCAATATGAAAGGCATGGCTAATGGATACTACATTAATTCCTTCTAGTCTATATACGAGTAGTTATACAATTCACTCTACTTCAGTACGTAGATGGCTAGATTTCTACTAATTAAACAATCTTATCACCTTATATATTTTGCACAGAAGATATATATA